GGCGCCAAATTTAGCCCCTCCACCAACCGCTATCTGCGAGCAGTCAATGGTGTAACATCACATCTGAGCCAATCACAGTAATGTGTAGCATGTTATGTAACTATGGCCTGCCCAATAAAACAAACAAAATAAAAATATCATACAAGTTCAACTGCTCTCGTGTATGTAGTAGATCCACCATAGCGCTGAGGATTAATGAACTTCCGCATACCCACCAAAGCTCCCAAAGTTTGCTCGGCTGGCACATTCTCGATGATGTAATTAGCGCTACAGCTCGGCGTTACGGTTTCTGTCTTCACCAAACCTGTTGTTGCCAGGTTTCCTTCGGGCGACGAACTCTTCGCAGATGAGTCAGCAGTCTCTGTAAACAGAAAACGATTCAAACAAGTTATCAATAACTTCTTGGCCGAAAAGTTCCACAGTCCGAAAGAAACTTCCATGTAAGATTATAAAAAAAGAAAAAACCACTGGTCATTCAACGTGAAACTCCCGAACAACAACTCATGGCCATGCATTTAGTCCGGCTACATCAGACTTTTCAGTCTTAAGCTACCTAAGTTGTCAATTTCTAAAACACTGCATATTCTCACAGTCATTTCAGTAGCTCTTTACCATTTTTAGTCTCGCTAAGATCGATATACACGTATGCTCACTACCGGCAAACAAGCATTCTCTCCAAACAACTTTTTTCAGAGCGATATTCTGCATGTTCCTTATATGGCAGAATGCGAATGTTTCTAATGTAGCGATAAAAAACGCTCCTAGCATCTCTCGTCTCATCACTCTCCTGTTTAAAGTCAGTGTCTGTTCCTATTTCTGTCGGTGCTACCTGTTCTTCATGCAAATGTCACTGCTTTCAGTGCAATGATAATAAAACGGCAAATATGCCAAAGTAAAATGCAACAGAACAAGAAATTTTAGGAGGAAAGATTATTACAAGAAAGGCGTATTATAAACGTACTTGAAGTGTCTGTGATGCTGGACACCGCATGACCGGCTTCTTGCATCTGTGCTGCATTTGCGCCTGCCTCACTAACGCGATATAATTTATAACTGTTATTCTCGGCGACAGCAATGTGAGTCAATTTTCCCTCGTTGTCGAGCAGTCGAATAATCGGTGGTACCGCTCTTGAAGCACCGGCTGCAGTCGCCGGTTGCGGGACAGCATATGACGATACGTATAGCTGAGAACCAGCCGCTGCATCCTCGCCGTGCCTGGCCGACTGCGACGTTCGCTTGCTACAAGCATACATGCTGAAGCTTTTTGAACAAGCTGATCGCATTTTAGCGAACTCTCATATGAGCCACGAGCTCACTGAAATATATGAGTAGCAGCAGCACAAAAACAAATCAATGAGCCACTTGGACGGCCTTAGATTGCCCAACCTAGCCTAGTACCCATGCCTGTTCCACGTATGATATACAAAACAAGCAGTGGCTATTAATTCGAAGTAGGCAACTGAAGATCGAAGGAGCTGGCATAGCTGCGTCTGATGTGTGCTTAAAAATAGAACTATTCAATACCAGTGGCATTACTGCACCACTTTGTGCAGTAGTAACGGTGGAATTGAACAGGTCGTTTCCTCACTTACCCTATGTTACCGCTAATCTATTCCCTTCCACTCTGTATGCAAAAAAAAATTGAGAAAGATACAACGTAAGTGAGATTTGCTAACAATTAAGTATCAGCAGACTTTAACGTATTGGTACGACGAAATGAAGGGGTACTAAAAGAAATTTATGCCAAGAAAAGCTGGGCTAGTCATTTGACAAGCAATAGGAGTACTGACATTGCTTGATCCACTGCTAATCATACGTCACAATTAAGGCCCCGGGTCGGCATTCTGTAAGAGAATGAAAACATATTGCTATTTACAGATGCATCATTTCGAATCCACCTAGTTTCAACACTAATTTTACGTCGTTCACATAAACACGAATTTTTTTTATGTATTCCGACCGTTTTGTTGTAAAAAATACGCGTCTGTAGGATTCGCTAATTTTGCGAGTTAGGGCATCAATTTCAATTCATAGTCGCTATGATCAGCAAAACTGATATGCAACCAACTTCTTTCCAGTTTTCGCATTCGTCCTCTCTCGAGCAGCACCACCGTCCACTACATTTTCTCTGTTGTCAGCTTTCTGAACTTGAGTAGTTTTGCTTCGAGTACGATCGGAAATGGCAGACTTGCTTGCGGCACTAGCCACGGGGAGAGTCTTCGGCGCTTTGCTGGCTTTGCGAGCTGACTCATTTGCCGCCAGCTGATCTTGCTTCTAAAATGACTGGGATTAAAAAGCGCATCGCCATACCCGTCACGCATGCTCACTTCCTGAACCACCTTTCCCGGAATCAGAGAAAAATCCACACTACATAAGATATTCAGAAAATTACGATCCAAATAAAACAAGAAGGAAAGACGAAAAATTTAGAATCTTAAGTTGACTAGGTCTAAGAAATGAAAACTACTACGGCTGGCTGATTTGTCTGTGCAGCACTGTTTGCTGATGCACGACTTTACATGGAATTCCCCATACAACA